AACAACTGGTTCTCGGGCTGGGTAGGCGTGGCCGGTTGGTCATGTGATGGGGTGGGAAACATCACTTGTCACACCCAGCCCCGCCTCCTGGCCACTCACTTCAAAGGCAGAGGTAGGATTCAGCCGGTTGGGGCTAATCCCATCACTCGCTGGCCCCACCCCCACCCTTTTTTCAGCCTGTCCATTTTTTGGGCTGTTTTCAATTTTTGGGCATTTTCAGGGTGTTTTTTCAGGCCGTTTTTGAAAACTAGTCTGAAAACAACTCAAAAAACGGCCTGAAAACAGCCCCCAAAGAGGCTAATTTCTCTATTTTTTCCCAGATGATTAGTGGACCGGAGGTTAAAAATAGCAAGAACGGTTGCTGGAACTGGGTATGTCTAGTCTGATGAAAAGAAGGACCAGGGGAGACATGACAGCAGTGTTCCAATATCTCAGGGGCTGCCAGAAAGAAGAGGAAGCCAAGCAGGAGAAGGCAAGACAAGAAACAAGGGATGGGAAATCATCAAGGAGACAAGCAACCTGGAATGAAGGTGTAACTTCCTAACAGGGAGGACAAATAACCAGTGGAACAGCCGGCCACTAGAAGTTGTGGGTGCTCCAACACTGGAGGTTTTTTCAAAAGAGATTGAACAGGCAGTTATTTGAAAGGGACTAGCAGGAGATTCAACTAGAGAAGACAAAGTCTGATCCCCCACCCTCCACCCTCCCCAGGAGAGCCAGAATTTGGCATCTCAATGGAAAAGCTCCCAGGAGGGAAGAGTGTTATATTGGTAGATCGGTCCCAAGAAGAGATGCGAGGCAAGTGACTTTTAAAAGCTCTTTTTATTGTAAGGTAGATCGGCTTGCTAGGCTTGGATCGGCGGCGGCTTATATTGGTCTTGCACAGGGCGCCGCAGCCAATGACAGCCGTTCAAATCTCCCGCGATTGGCTCAGCCAATCGCGGTTGCTTCGTAATGGCCAATCAGTGCTGCACACTTGACCAATCCGAGTGCTGTGCATTTTAGCCAATCAGAACGCAGGGTTACAAGAATGCAAATACAGAACACCCCTCCCCTCTTGGTTCGGTCCTACGTAATGTAGTCCCATAAGTCTACTGGACCTGCGCAGGTTAGTTGTCTCTTGGTCTCCGGCCGGTTCGGTCGGGGTCTGTGCTGCTCCCTGCCTCATCGATGGAACCACCTGGAAGGGTGAGTCGGGCCTTTCGCCGTAGCTCCCTCCCGGTCTACCCAGTCTGGTCGAGCTGCTGGCTCTGTTGTTCCCGCCTTGTCTTTCTGGGCTGGTCGAGCTGGCTTGGCTGTACCTTCCAGGCGAGGCTTTGGGCTGGTCGTCTGTCGGTGGCTCTGGTGGTGAGTATTGCTGGTTTCTTTCTTATTGGGTTTGTTTGTTTTGTTTGTCAGGGCTTCCTTCTCTTCTTATGTTTGGGTTTCCCCCTCCCTCTTCAGTTTCCTTGTTTCTGTGTGTTTGCGTGTCGATTGTATTTCCCGTGTTAGCTCTCGATCTTAACTGATCGATGTGTCATTTCCATGCTCGTCCGTCGGTTGTTTGTAGCCAGTACGAGCGGGGACCTGTTACCTGGGTTATTGTTGCAGGTACCCAGAGTGGGTCCCCTGTGAGGTTTTTTGCGTATACTGTGTTGCCCGGTGTGAATGTTCGGTGCTTGCTAGATGAGTCGGGGGGGGGGTGTTTCCAGGTTGTATGTGGGGTGTAGCCTGTCTAGTGGGGATCTTAATTTTCTCCCCATTAATAGTTCTGCCGGGCTTTTGTTCGTTGTTGTGTTCGGGGTTATATGTTGTATGAATAGCATTTTATTGATTTTGTCCTGTATTTCCCCGGTTTCGATTTTTTTAATTGTCTTTTTAGTAAATTGTACCATTCGTTCCGCCCTCCCATTCGCCGCCGGATGTGCTGGCGCTGTCAGTGCATGCCGTATTCCCCGTTCCGCTAGGATTTTTTCGAACGGTAGCGCAGTAAATTGGGGCCTGTTGTCAGATACAATTACATCTGGGAGGCCATGGATTGAGAATAGTTTGTTGAGTTCTTTGATAACGGCCTCTGTGGTAGTCGTTCTCATGTTGCTTACCTCCACCCAGTTGGAGTAAGCGTCTACCGTTATCAGGAATGTGTGTCCCTTTGTGGGCCCGGCGAAGTCTATGTGAATCCTGGACCATGGCCCTCTGGGGGTTTCCCATTCCAGGATTGGGGCGGCGGGAGGCCTCGGCCTGGATTCTTGGCATTGCCTGCACGATGCCACCCAGGCTTCGATTTCCTTGTCCATCCCTGGCCACCAAGCGTAACTTCTGGCCAGGGCTTTTGTTCTAACGATGCCCGGGTGCCCTTCGTGTAACATGTCCAAAACCCTTTTCTGTAATTTCTCTGGGATAACCACCCTGTCCCCCCACAGTAAACAACCTTTTTGTGTAAAGAGTTCTGTTTGCCGGCTCCGGAAAGTCCTGAATTGTTCATCGTACTCTTTTTCTGGCCACTCTTTCTCCACCCAGTTTAAAACCCACGCCAGACGTTTGTCTTTATTGGTTTCCCGGGCAATGTCTGACGCGGTCAGGGGGAGATTGAGTAAGGTCTCTATGCTCAGGGTGGACGTGGCAGGTGCTGGGTCGGCGTCCAGGTCGGGCAACGGAGTGCAGCTCAAGGCGTCTGTGTGTGAGATTGTCTTACCGGGCCGATGGGTTAGCTGGTAATTGTAGGCGGCAAGGAATTCGGACCACCTTGTCATCCTAGGGGATAGGATGTTCGGGGTGGCCCTGTCCCCTGCCAGAATCCCGAGCAGCGGTTTGTGGTCGGTGATGATGGTGAAGGTTCTGCTGTAAAGGTACTTGTGGAACTTCTTTACGGCGGCGACGATTGCCAGGGCCTCCTTATCCAGCTGGCTGTAATTCCTTTCCGGTTTTGAGAGGGTTCTTGAAAAGAAGGCGATGGGCGCCTCTTTTCCGTCAGGGAGAGTGTGGCTGAGGATGGCCCCGACGCCGAAGGGAGATGCGTTGCATGTTACTGCTAGCGGTAGGGTCTCGCTGTATTGGATGAGAACAGCGTCCGATGTGAGTAGGTCCTTTGTTCGGTTGAATGCGTTTTCCTCTCGCCTTCCCCAGTTCCAGGTGGCTGTCTTGTCCAGCAGCCTATGCAACGGTTCCGCCGTGGTCGCCTTTTGGGGCAGGAAAACATTATAGAAGTTAATCAGTCCCAGAAACGCCTGCAGCTCGGTTTTATTACTCGGTCTAGGGGCTTCCTTGATGGCCCTGATTTTTTTTCCCCGTTGGGTGGATCCCATGCTGGTCTAGGAGGTACCCTAGGAATTTGACTCTCTCGGTGCACAGCTGGCATTTCTCTTTCTTGACTTTTAACCCCGAGTCTTTGAATTTTTGAAGCACCTCCCTCAGGCGGCTCTCCAATTGTTTTTGGTTGGCCGCTGACACCAGCACGTCATCAAAATAGGGTACTACCCCCTTGATGCCTTAGAGTAGCCTCTCCATTAGGCTCTGGAAGACCCCCAGGGCTACGCTGACTCCGAACTGGAGCCTCTTGCAGCGGAAAGCCCCGCGGTGGGTGACTATGGTTTGCGCCTCTGCGGTTTCCGCATCAACCAGCAATTGCTGGTAGGCCTGTGCCAGGTCGAGTTTCGCGAAAACCTTGCCTCCCCCCAGTGAGTGTAGAAGGTGCTGTACCACTGGGATGGGGTAAGCGCTCTGTTGCAGAGCGCGGTTGAGGGTAGCCTTGTAATCACCACAAATTCTCACCGACCCATCTGGTTTTACCAGGGTGACTATAGGGGTCTCCCACCTGGCATGGTCTGTTGGCTCGAGTACCCCCTGCTCGATGAGCTTGTTTAACTGCTCATCGATCTTAGGTCTGAGCACGAAGGGTACTCACCGGGGTTTAAGGCGGATTGGGGCAATGTTGGGGTCTAGGTTGAAGGATATCGGGGCCCCTCGGTACTTGCCTAGGCTGCCGTCGAAAACCTCTTGGAAATCTTTTGCGAGCTGCTCCTCCCAGTCCACCTCGGCGATGTGGTTGATGCCCGTCACCTCTATTCCCAATGGTGCGAACCATTGTAGTCCCAAAAGGCTAGGGCGGTCCTTGTCCACGATGGTTAGGGGAAGTTTTTCGGTGCACCCTTTGAACGTGATTTTAAAGTGTCCAATTCCGACCACGGGAATGCGGTTCCCCTGGTAGTCTTTGAGGATGAGTTTCTGGCTTTCCAGTTCGCGCCTATGGATGGTAGGCACCAGGCGCTTGATTTCCCGCCAAGCGACCATGGAGAGGTAGGATCCGGAATCCACCTCCATTTTGCATGGTCGTTCTTCGATGCCCACCTCCACGTGTACCTTCCGGGCATCCCAGTTTGAAGAGTGGCCGATAACAACCGTTTGGTGAGTTTCTTCTCGTTGTCGAGCCTCGTCGAGACGCCTGTTTCTTCCATCCCGGCTCCATCGGCTCTCGGCGTGTCGGTCTCTGTTCCTGGCGGGGGTTGTCGTCTCGTCTCCAGGGACTGCTGTCTCGACGCCGGGGACTATGGTTCCACTTGAACCGGCACACCTTGGCGATGTGGCCCCACTTGTCGCAGTGCCGGCAGATTGCGTCAAAGAACCGGCATTCTGACCATGGATGGTCACCCCCGCACCCGGCACACTGGAACCCCCACTTATGACCTCGCCGCTCGCGCCGGTCTCGTTCCGCCTGGAGCCGGTGGATGTCTTCCTCTTCGTCCTCGGTGTCGGTGAGGGAGTCGAGATCGCCATGATGTGTGGTGGTGGTTGCTCGGCGGCTGGTTTCGGTGTGCTTCTCAGGGGTTGGGGCCGCCTCGGTCATCACGGGCCGGTCCGCTGTGCTCGTTTGCCGCATCCGGGCCACCGATGTCCTGGTCGCCTCCGCTGCGGTTGCCTTGGTGAGAGCATCAGTAAGGGATATGTCGCCCTTCGCCATTAGCCAGCTTTGCAGGATAGGGTCTTTGAGTCCAAGGACGACACGGTCTCGCAGGGCTTCATCCATGTCGGTGAACCCGAACATGCCCCCGAGGTCCCGTAGATCAGCCACGAAGTCGCTGATGCTCTCACCCTCCTTTTGATCCCTCCGGTAGAAATCGTGCCGGCGGATGAGGGTTGGTACAGTGGCCGCATACTAGCTTCGCAGCAGTGGCTCAAGGTCGGCCCAGTCCATCGCCTTCACATCGAGGGGTTTGGCGAGGGCTTTCGCCATCTTGAACACTGCGGGCCCGCAGTGGGTCAGGAACACGGCCCTTTTTTTTCTGTCCATTGGCGTCCTTTAGGTTGCTGCTTTCTAGGAGCATTAGGAATCTATCGATGTAAGATTCCCAGTCCTCTGCAGCCTGGTTGAAAGGTGCGGGTGGCGCAGTGCGGCTGGCCATGTTGCCGGTCACTTTGCCGTGGTGCCACGTGCGGGGTGGGTCTTTGGTTCAGAATCCCACCCTCGTCGCCAGTGTTATATTGGTAGATCGGTCCCAAGAAGAGACGCGAAGCAAGTGACTTTTAAAAGCTCTTTTTATTGTAAGGTAGATCGGCTTGCTAGGCTTGGATCGGCAGCGGCTTATATTGGTCTTGCACAGGGCGCTGCAGCCAATGACAGCCGTTCAAATCTCCTGCGATCGGCTCGGCCAATCGCGGTTGCTTCGTAACAGTCAATCAGTGCTGCACACTCGACCAATCCGAGTGCTGTGCGTTTTAGCCAATCAGAACGCAGGGTTACAAGAATGCAAATACAGAACAAAGAGAGCCGCGATTGAGTGGAAGGTGGGTAGGATGAAGGTGTCCCCTCCCTGCACTCAATTGCAGCTCTTTTTTTCTTTGGCTGCTGGATGGAACTCAGCAGAAAAGAAACAATCCGCCCCTCCCCAAATTACCTGGAATCTCTGCCCCCTCCCAACAACCCAGGTGCTTCTCTGCCACCCTTGCTGCACACCTGGCTTGCTTTCCCCTCCTTGGCTTTCTCTCCCCCAATGCCCAGGAGGAGCCCTGCTCTCGCCCTGCCCCACTCCACTGCCCCATGAAATACCAATTGGGGGGATGTGTATCTCAGTGCTTCTGCCCTGAGACGCACCTGGTTGGAGTGAATCGGGAATCCCCGCCGGCAGGTGGATCTGCTTCCCTGCTGGATCTCTTTTAAGCAAAGCCTGGCCTTCTGCTTTGCCTTCAGGGGGTTCAGAAAAACGAAAGTTAAAAGCACCAGGGGGAAAAAAACCCCACTTTCCTCTCCTCTTTTGAATCTGACTTCCTGTTTCATTATTCACATTTACTTTGCAAGGAAAGAAGCCGTCCAACAGAGGGCAACAAAGACCTTTTCTTGGCCCTTCATTCCTCTAGTGCAGATTTCCCCAAAGTCCACGACTTTTAAGGCTTGTGGACTTCAACTCCCAGAATTCCCCAGCCAAGCGTGCTACCTGAGGAATGATGGGTAAAAAAAGAAAAGTAAAGGATAATATGATCTGATAGAAACGTGTACTACTAGTTAAGATATAGAACTGATAAATGCAATAAATAAGA